TCTGGGTTAGACCAGAGCTTTTTCATACTCGGCCTCCTGGAGGGTGTATAGTCCTGAGACTTCTCTAGCAGGTGATTCTTCAATAGGGTTTATGACGATTTAGGGAGATGCTGAAGTCATAGTTGCTGTGGAAAGGGACACGGCCTGGACATGTGAGTGGAGTGTGTGTGTGCGTGTGATGTGGGGCACCCCAGCCTGTTTCGGGCCATGACACACAACGGGCTTTGTCTCGGTGGGCAGGAGTGAGCCGGGTTCCCTCACTGGCCAGACCCTGAGGAGAGGCTCCTGCAACCTAGCAGGCCACAGCAGAAGCCACTCATCAATTATAAAGCCTCCCCCGGCTCAATTTTAGCTCATTTCCAGATGGAGCATTCTTTTGCATTCCTGCCCCCTCCCCTCTGATTTCAAACCTTAACATTTTATTCTAAGAAAGTGTCGTTTTCCGTCATACGCGAAACCATAATCTGGTGGAGCTAAGAGAGGTTTTGAGCCACCAAGCACCAGGCTCTTAATAGACAGAGGCTGAGTCTGACCCTGCTGGCCTGGATGCAGCCCGTGCTGCCTGCCCGCTGAGTGTGGATGCATGTGTAGCTTTTTTGCTGGGAGGTAAAGACTATATATACCATTTATGAATGTTTATTTCTTTTGGAAGTGGAAGCAGAGAGGAAACTATTGGAAAGGAAAGGAAAAATTAAGATTTTTTTTCTATGAAATGTAGTCTCCTGAGTAAAAGTTTAGAAATGAAATATGCAACTTCTCTTCTTTCTTCTGGAGTGAATTAAAGTGAAATGACTCCAGGTTTTTACAGAATGAAAAGAGCTTGGGTGAAGTCTGAACATTCAGCCTCCCCAAAGAATAAGCAGATATCTGTGCGTGTACGTTGGGCCCTGGCGGAGATCCGTCGCAGGGAAGGTGTTCCTGACAGCATTCTGGATCTTCCTTGGGTTAGTTTCTAGGGCTCGTAGTTTCTTAGGCCGCAGCTTCCCGTGACTGACAGCGTGCCGCAGCTGGGTGGCTCAAACAACAGAAATTCATTCTCTCCCCATCCTGGAGGCCAGAGGTATGAAGCAAGGCGTCGGCAGGGCCACGCCCCCCTCAGGGCTCCAGGGGAGAATCCTTTGCCTCTTCCAGCTTCTGGTGGGTGCTGGCCATCCTGGGCGCTCCTTGGCTTGTAGACACCTCTCTCCAGTCTCTGTCTCCGTCTCCACACCAAGTGCATGTGTCTGACTTTCTCTTTCCTTTCTTTTATAAAATAGACACCAGTCATTGGATTTAGGGCCCACCCTGATCCGGTATACCTCATCTTAACTAACTGCATTTGCAAAGGCCCTGTTTCACATCCTGAGGTTCCAAGTGGACATGAAGTTTTGGGAGATGCTGTTCAACCCAGTGCACTTCTTCTGCGAAGCTCTAGCTAGCCCAAACTGATGCTAACAGGCTCGTGCCGGAATGGGTGTCAGCACTTGGTCCTACAGTCAGAACACGGGGATTTGGCTGTTGGTGATTATTGGGCTGCAGTGCCAGGGAGACGCAGAGACAGTATGGGTTTCTGAGGAAAAGAGGTGCGTTGAGTGGAGTGAGGACTTCCGTTAAATCCTCACATAGTATTTGGAAACTGCATTGGATGGGGAGTGCTGGAGCCGCAGAGAATGTTCCCTGTTCCAGAAACTGAACCAGCATTTCCAGGAGGAGCGCTGAGGTCAGTTTCACCCCCTATTAGAAATGCAGCTGCACGCTAGCCCGCTCAGGAACTAATTTCCTTGTGGAACTTGGTTCTCTAACCCCATGGGGCCTTAACTGTCCTCCACCCTTGTGTGTGTATGGGTCCATCCTTCCCTCACTCTTAGGAACCTGTGGCAGCCTCATGCCATCCTGTTTTGCATGAGATAGAGTCCTAGGTTCATAGCAAGACCTACAAGTCTTTATTAGTCTTTGTAGGAAGCCCACTGCCTCACAGATGTCTTGCAACTGTAACGGTTATGTTTTCTCAAGAATAAGCGCTAAAAAAAAGTTCTTAGCACTTAAAGTGTTCCTTCTGTTTGCAGGCCTCTGTTGGTGTGTGACTCCTGTTTTTGCCCCACCTTCTGCCTTCTGCATGCTCAACTTCCACTTCCTAGGGTTTGTCATCCTGATCCTCTCTATAGGCACCTGCCCTCCCAGGCTGGGACCCTCTGCCCTCCTGCTCTTTGTGGCTAACTCAGTTATCCTTTGGGTTTCAGTTGAAAATAGAGTCTGATTGAAGTTGTCTTGCCATACCAGGACTAGTTTGGATGTCGCTTGTCTGTGCAGCTGTGTCCCCAGGTGCACGCCTCTGTCACAGCACCACTTATGCAATGCTGGACCTGGCACCTTCCCCTCCGAGACTGTAAACCACATGAGTTCAGGGGCCATGGCTCTTTTGTTCATCATAGGATCCTCCAGAGCTTTAGCTCACTGCCCAGCAACTACTGGATACTAAATGAATGTTTGTGGCACTTGCCTGTACACACACGTGCTCTGATCATCCTGTGTCCAAGTTCAACTTACAGGACTGTTGCATCAATCACACCTTTCTTCTAGGCCTGCTTCTGGGTGGGCTGGATCCTCAGAGTGTCACTTATCTATCAAAAACGAATCAGCATAGCGTGAACCAACATGTCTTGGGGGACCTGGGACACAGGGATCGTCCTATAAAACACTTCCCAGTAATTAAGGGACCTAGAAGTTGATTTCGATTCTTCATATTTCACGGTTACTAGTCTGATGCTTCTTGATGTGAGCTAGGGCACTTTGATCATCTTCTTTCGAACTTCTTCTCTAGGACCATGGGAAGTTGCCTGCTCTGCATGTGGGAGATCAATCCCATGGCCACTTCAGCCCAGTGCTGTTGCTGGTCGTGATGTTTGGTTGAGAGTAGGGGTATAGACATGTCTTCTTTCCTCCTCTTTGTCATTTTTATCATTCCCAGGAAGTGTCTATCCGTTTGAGTGACAAAACTGTAAACCACGTGTTCTGACAGACCTGGTTCTGGATAGGAAGTTGGTCTGTTCTCTGTTGAAATAGAGTTAACTGACGTATTGAAGAGTCTGCTACTCTAGAGTGGGATTATTGATCATTAGTGCTTTATAGGACGTCCTGCAGTGCCTTGTAAGTTTCTTACAGTCAGAGCTGTTGTGTTTTCTTAAAAAAGAAGCAAAGAGGTAATTTTCACTTGACTTTTACAAAAAAGTAATTGTGTAGTTATTTTCAAATGACTTTAGATTTTCTGAGCCAGCAGTCCGAGTTTCAGATAATATAGTCAAGATAAAAAAAGAAAAGCTCAGCTGAGACGCCCAGAGAGGAGTGGCGTGGGGATGACTCTTAAGCAGGTGCACAGTCACTCTTCTGTTGTAAAAGGAGGGAGAAGAGCTGGAACGCTGCAGTGTGGGGACCTTTGTAGCTGGTGGCAGGACGTTGAGGGGGTTCTCTGAGTTCTGCCTGTCTGTGAGGACTCGGTGTGGCCATCTGCTGGAGTGCGAGGAGCGACGCGGGGCTGGAGGCAGAGGGACAGCGGGGAAGGAGTCCCACGAGCATGCCCGGCAGCCGGAAGGCCCAGTTGATGTTGGTGACCCTGAAAACCTTGGCAATTTTTAAATTTTCTCTGTCAGTGTGCAAAGGCCGAAATTTGGAGTGGAATAGGCAATGCTTTCTTCCAGGTAGATGGCCCCTGTGTCCTTCGATCGTTCCTGTCTGGCAGAAAACCAGTCTTGTAGAAATTCAGCCAACTGCATCACTCATGCGGCACCTGAGTGACCGCCCTGTGGGACAAACCGGTGACCACCCTCCACGCTCTGGCAGCTTCTCCATGTTTCTCTGGTCACCCTACTCTCCCACTCTGCACACAACCATTTCAGACGCTTTCTGTGCTTCTCAAGCTGCCCACTCCCCCACTTGCCCTCTCTTCCTCATCAGGTGACCTTCCTACTTTACTGAGGACAGAGAAGACAGCAGCCAGGACTCTGGACTCTGTCAGCTTCCCGCTCCGAGACACACACCACTTGCAGCCTCTCTTCTGTCACAGGAGGGGGCTGTCCCTCCTCTCTGAGACCGACCCCTCTATTGGGCTTTGGGTCCTGTCTCCATGGGCCTTTTCCACTATTTGTTTTCTCTCCTGTAGTTTCGGTCTTTCCGTCTCAATGGAATTCTTCCCATTTTTTCTTTCCTGAACTTTTCCTTGAGGTATAACATAGAAACAGATTCACAGATCACAGGGCTACAGCATGAAGAATGTTCATGGCTGTGAGATAACCACATCTGTGTAAACCAGTGCCCAGCTTAGGAAACCACACGACCAGGACCCCCGAAATCCCCCTCAGACTCCTTTCCAGTCATAGCTCCTCTGCCCTCTCTAAGAGCATAGAGTTATTTTGCCTGTTTTGAACTTTATGTAAATAGAGTCATACAGTAAGTTCTCTTGTGCTGGCTTCTTTCAGACTCAGGTGTTAGGTGTTGATTTCCATAAGGCTCAGTCCTGGGGTCCTCTTCACTCCCACCTGGGACTTTCTCCCTGGGATCTGATTCCAGTCCCACTTCAGTTACCATCTAAACACTAATGGCTCACAAATTTGTGTCTTACAAGGTCCTGACGTCTTATCTTAGTGCCCATTCCTTTTATTCAGCTACTGTTCTTGACATCTGCTGTTGGATATCACAGATGTCTAAAGTTGAAATCCTGATCTTAGTCCCCAAACCTTGGTCTTTCCTAGAGTTTTCTATCTTAATGAATGGCTCCAGGTCCACCCAGTTCTTCAGACAAAATCCTAGGAGTCGTCCTTGGCATTTCCTTCTCCCTCACCCACAGTATTCAGTCCAGCACCAGCTCTGATTGATTTCTCTCCTAGATGTGCCTTAAAGCCATTCTCTTCTTTCCATCTACACACTGCTTAGTCCAGGTTACCATCCTTTCTACGCAGATGATCCCCCAGCCTGTTTGCCCTCAGATACTCTTGCTTTCCACCCATGTGGTAAATATATCTTAGCTATGGTTTTCTATTAAAGTGCAAGTCTGTTCCCACTTTAAAACAAACAGAAACTAAGCACTCCAGTGGCTTTCCGTTGCTCTCAGAGTAAAGATCAAGATCCTTTCCTTCTGCTGTGCCCCCTTCTCCGTTCTCATGGTGCGCTGTGCTCCTCCTGGCTCCCTGTGCTGCGGCCACGCTGGCCCTTTTTGCTTCTCATACATACCTTAATCTCTGAGCACAAGTCCTTAGTGTATGCTATTTCCTCGGGGCGAATGTCTCCTTCATCTTGCAGATTCCTCCTCTAGATCTGGGCTCAGCTGTCACTTGTTCGAGGAATCTTCCCCGACCTTCCCGACCAGCTCGGCCCCCACTTCCATCCCGTCAGAGGCTCCCAGAACACCGCCCAGGGCTGCTTTGTCACACACAGCATAGTTTGGGTTTGACATTTCTCCGTGGGCATTTTTGCTGAACATCTGCCTCCCCGCTAGGCTGTGACCTCCACAGGGAAGGGACAGGTGTACTTCAGCTGCCTGTTGAGGGCAGTGGCTGACACAGACCCTGGAGAAACGTGTGTTGCTTGCATGACCTGTGGAAGACAGACGGAGGAGTTTTCGACAGTCACTGAACTCACTAGTTCTCTGCAGTCGCCACTGGTCGAGGAGCGTTCACTCCAGCAGCAGGGAGAGGGAGACGGCGAACAAGGAGGCACACGTGAACGCACAGAGCAGTGCCGGCGGGCAGGGGGACGGGACGCAGAATGACAGCCGAGCGAGGTGAGTCAGCTGGAGCGGCTGCTCTCTGAGGAGGCAGCCCTGGTGCCGGACCCACGTGCTGAGAGGACTCGGTGCTCGTGCTCCGGGAGCAGCGCGGGCCGGGGCGGCTGAGGCGCCGAGGGAGACGCGCTTGGCTGGTTTGAGGACGAGGAAGGAGACGAGCGAGGCGCTGTGTGGTGTACAGGAGGGTGTGGGCTTGAGAGTGGGCGGAGCCCGCGGCCGGCTGGTGTCCAGCTGGTGCACCAGCGAGAGGAGTGTGTGCTTTAAAGAGGGCGGGAGGCTAACCAGGGGAGTGGCGTTGTTTTATTTACGATGTTAGAAGCTTAGGCTGGCTGCTCATGGGGGTCGGACTGTGGAGGAGCAAGAATGACGCCAGAGACAGCTGATGGCGAAGCTGTGGGGACAGTCTGCCTTGGCCAGGGGTGGCTGTAGTGGCGGTGGGGAGACGGGAGGGCGGAGTGGGGTGTATTGTGGTGATCTGGATAAGTGGGGGTGCGGGGAGAAGAAGTAAGGCCAGCTCGTCTGGGTGGATGTTGGTGCAGCTTACAAGTGGGGAAGAGTGAGGAGGAGCAGTGTGAGGGGTTTGGAAATGTTTGGAGCAGTCCAGGGCTGGAGGTAAAACTTGGGAGCCAACATCAAGATGGCATTTTAGGTGACGTGACTGGGTGAGATTACTTGGAGAGAGGATATAGACTCAGAAAAGAAGGGTGTCCCTAGTTGGAGCCCTGGAGCACCCCAACATTTAGACATCGAGCAGAGGAGGAGTCATCCCGGTAAAGAAAACGAGGAGTGGCTAGTGAGGTGGGAAGACAGCTGGTGAGGGGCACCATGCTGGCCAAGGAGAGTGTGTCATGTGGTCCCATCAAGTAGACGAGGACGGTGCCCATCAGGTTTGGCACTGTGGAGGTCATGACGGCCTGGGTAAGAGTGATCCCAGTGGGATGCAGAGACGGAAACCGATTGAGAGAATGTGAGGCATGCAGCTCTTTTGAAAAGTTGTGCTGTGAAGGGGAGCAGATATTTTGGCTGAGAGCTGGGGTGGGATGTGGGATCCAAAGAAGTTTGTTTCAGGAAGGGAGATACTGGAACATGTTTGTATGGGAATGGACCTACAGACAGACAAAATTGATGATGACGAAGAAGGAGTCATTGCAGGATTTGCTTTTGAGAAGGCCACAGGAAATGTTGAGTGGGCTGAAGTGGAAGGGCCAGCCCTGGGGAGGAGCAAGGGTGCTTACTTGGAGGTGGAGGAGGAGGAGGAGGGTGGCAGAGGGCGTGGGTGTGGGTGCAAATAGCTGAGGGGATTGCCAGCGGGAGAGAGAGGAGATAGCCAAATGATTGCTTCTGTTTTCTTAATAAATTCTCTTGGCAAGTTATCAGCCACAAGTGAGGGAGCTGAAGGGAATATAGAAGACTTGAGAAAAGAGAAGTATGAAGTAGTAATTTAAAATATTGGCAAAGTGTGTGTCCTAAAGATTTTCAGAAGAATTTGTTTACGGCCAGAGCCCATTTGAGACTTGTGATCGTCAGATAAAGCCTGGCGTTATTCAGCTGCTTGGGTGCCGCATGGATAGGTGGAGAACTGGGTTTAAATACGGTCGGGGTGTTACTGCAACAATGTGATGGAGGGAGAAAGTCACAAGAGAGTCAACAGTGACTGCAAGAGAGAAGTTCTCAGGATGGATGAAAGAGGACCGAGCAGGACGAGAACAAGTGGTAGGGTTAGTGGTCCCGAGTCTGCGGGCAGAGAATTGCTGGAAGGGGAGGAGTGCGAGGTGGTTGGAAGATGGGTCGCTTGAACAGATTTTGGAGATGGTGGTGCAGTCGTTGCTGATGGCAAAGCCGTGGTATGACTGTGGAACTGGTGATGGCAGAGGAGAGTGGCTGAGAGAGTGAGTGGAGGGCAGAGCCGTGGAATCTGAGCCAGAGAAGGAAGCGAGGGAGTAAAGAAAGAAAAAATAAGATTAGTGGGAAAAAAAAAAATAAATAAAAACAGGCTGGAGGTCCTTTGGGGGCAGAGGAAAGGTTCAGGCAGATTAACAGAGTCAGAAAGCTGGAAGAACAGGACGTTTTGGTCAAAGGATGATCAATAGAGTTTCACTGACAATAGATGCATTGCTAACGAACTCGTAGGTTAGCGTTCTTGCTGGCGCTGTGTGGTGGTGTGCTTGAGTTTGCATGGTTATGGTGTCGGTGGAAGCAGAGTTATTCAGCTCTATCACATAGAATGCTGTTGTTGACTGTCTCGTGGCTGAAGAGCTTCATTCCAGGGGCCTTGTAAGTAAAGGCTTAGTGGTTTTTGTTCTTTTTGTTATGGAAAATTTCAAATAAAGTCAAAAGTAGAGGAAATTTAAAAATGGAACCCCGTGTATCTCTTCCCCAGGTTTAAAACTCATCAGGTTTTTGCTGTTCTTGTCTCCTGTACCCCTCTACTTTTGGGTTCACATGAGAAGCCCGTTTATGACTTGTCAGGTTTTGTGACGACTCCAGGTCACATATTGGGTGTTAGCAGTCTCACCAGTTACGTGAGCTCTTGTGCAGCCAACATTTCAAAAAGGAAATAAATACATAATGCAAGTGTCTGTCCTTGAGTTTCCAAAGGATGCTCGTTCCTTCATATTTTGACTGACTGATAGCATATAAAACGTTTTTTGTTTGTGATAGGCCAAGACGTCTACATTATCCTGATTATATAAAAAGAAAACAGATGCAAAATAGTGTTAGGTGACATAACTTGCCTGATGTTCCAGGATCAAGTGGAAATATTTTTAAATCCCTTCTCTTCTTTTGGTTGAACTTCATTCGTACAGCATCTGCCCTTCCCCCTGTACTCCCCGTCCTTGGAAGGGCATCGCTGTCCTGTCCCCATTGCAGACCATCTCCCTCACCAGCCCCCATCTCTCGTGTGTCATCAGGTGCCAACAAGACATGGTCCTGCATCTCCCTGGAGCTGCCCTCTGCTCCACTAGCGTGCCGTCTGCAAGCCTGTTTCTTCACAGGTCTGGCTGTGAGATTTAGTTGCTCTGGGGCGGTCTTCTCTTCTTCAGTCAGTGGTGCCAGTTCCAGGTCTGTGTGTCTGTGTGGTTCTTGTGTCCCGGTCATAGTCTCATTCAGAAGAGCACTGATGAGGCGCTCAGCCTTTCTGCTCAGCAGCAGCTGGCTTCACACGTGTGTGCAAAGTCTGACATCGAGGCTTTTGGCTGCTGATTCCTTTAGGAGTGTAATTGGATGTTTCTCCCCTGCCAAATCAGGGTGATTAGTGTTGATTTCATATCCACCCTGTCCTGAGTGTATCCAGATCAGAGTCGGCTTTCTGGAACATCGGTCGCAGTTTCCCAATCTCCACCTCCGTCCTGAATGGTTGGCATTCCCCTCATGGCGGCACTTAGGCTGCCATCATCCCAGCCCCATGGGCCCCTGTGGGATGCTCTCTCTCAGTGTGTCACATTCGTCGGCTCCTTCATTCTCCACCACCTGCCCTGTGGAGACTGAGTCCTTCTACTTTGAGTTACTGGTTTGCAACCATAGGATCATTTTAACAACAAATCCATGAAAAACTAGCGTACCTTTTTTCCCCAAGCAAAATCATCTCTTTGGTCAGCTGCGTAAAAGGAACATATAAAAGGCACGTAGGAAAGTATGTTTAAATAATCCACATTTCAAAATCCACGTCCAGCCCCTTCCCCAGCACGGCATCAGGAGCCTCTTCCCAGGGCAGGGGGCTGTCATCTTCACACTCTGCAGTGGACTCAGCTGAAGTTTGAGGAGGAAGTCTGTGTCCTCGCTCTGCACCCTCCTCTTGGCCTTGCCACCTGCAGGCATGACCAGAGTGGGCTCCTCTCTCACGAGTGTATCTGCCTGCAAGGAAAATGGAGGCTGCTGCAGCAGAGTCAGCCACAGCTCGGTCACAGTGTCACCTCCTGGTGACAGTGGTGGTGCCTGTGCACCTAGAATTGGGAGCACTTGGCTTGGGCTGGCCTCCAAGGGCAGCAGCTCCATCCTCCCAGCCTCTTAATCCTGCGTCCCCGTCTCCAGTGACCCTGGCCAGGGCCCAGAGCTTTTACTCTCGCAGGACACAGCTTCCCTGTATCTAGGACTCATTTCTTGACTTCCTTGCATTTCGGCATCGGTTGTTTATTAGCTGATCGCTCAGTTTTAACTGTCCTGGGAGGCAGGACTGATCCCGATGTTCTTTGGTGTCTCAAAGTCTAGATGAGGCAAAGACTCCAGTGGACAAACTCCAGGAAGAGAGGGCAAGCTCTTTTTCATGGAAGTTGGGGATTTGAGGCAAATGGGCTAAATTTAAGCTTTTTTTCTTTCAGTTGTCAGCCAAACTCTAACTTTCCAATTTGAAAAGTTCCCCTCAAACGTAGGTTGAAGGCGTAGTCTGCTGGGGCTGCTCCTGAGGCCTCACGCGGAGAAACTAGAGGTGGCCCTGGCAGCGTCAGGTGACCTCAGGGCCAGGCTCCTTCCTCCTCTGGTCACACAGGTCGTCTCGCGGTCGTATGGACTGTCCCCTTGAAAGCCCTCAAGGGACGTTGGATATGAGACGTGTTGAGTGAGAGAATCTTGGCAACGTCGTGCCCTGGGGTCTCGGGGATCTGTGGCTCATCTCTGCTCCCTTGACTTCCGGTCTCCTCTCTGTGTGCGGTGCAGTGGGGCAGGTGCTGTTGAGGAAAGTCTCCAGGGGGGGCCCTTTGTGGGGTTTGTCCTTCTGGTGTTTGGTTGGTCACATGGCAAATTTGCTGGAGTTTCTTTTGCTTTATCTTGTTTTTCTCTTTGCTACAGAACGTAGCTTATCGCCCACCCCCATGGTGAGACCCACAGATGTGCCCCAGCATGTTACCTGGAAGGAGTGACAGTGCTGATTCCTCCCCCAGAGAAACTGGTGGCAGCTCATGTGGGACAACTTAGGAATTTCATGTCGCCAAGTTGGTGTTGAGTTACCATCCTGAGCAGAGTCTGCCCCCCTGAGCTGGTCTGGATGGCTGTCCTGCCCCCTGCCGCTTCATTTCCAAGTGCAGGTGCTGGGAGGAGCAGAGCGCACCGCTGCTTCCTCTGTCCTCTGTGTGTCACTGTCCTGCAGCCGTTGCCTTCTCTCTGCTCTCCGGTGCCGTCTGCGCAACACACATTCTCAATGTGCTCAGGATTGACTGGGGAGCCACAGCCATTTGGGGGTGGTTTTTCTGTGGTTCAGTTTCACCTCTGTCCAGTCTGTCTGGTTCTAGGATCAGTTTGTCATCTCAAGAGGAGCAGGAAAAGAATGTCTTAGCATTAGCCAATTTTTTTCTCAGGAAAAACTTCAAACGTATACAAAGGTAGAACATTTTATTCATCATCTAGATTTGGCAGTTAGAGCAATTTGGCCACATTTGCTTTATGTTTCCTTTTTATGTTTTTGCTGAAGTGTTTTAAGATACAGCTCAAACCCCGTGTCATTTCATTCCTACATGCTTCAGTTTACATCTCTGAAAACACCGCCCCCGACGTGTGTTTACGTAACTGCAGTGCATCGTCACACCTAACGGTTGACAGGATTCCTTGTCTCGTCTGGTACCCAGTCCCTAATCCTGTGTCCTCAGTTGTCTTCTTTTAGCAGCTGACTTATTTGAATCAGATTCCAAAGAAGGTCCTCATGTTACTTTTGATTGTTATGTCTCAAGTCTCTTTGATCTAGAGCAGCACCCCCTCACGTTTCCCTTCCATTTACTTGTTGCAGAAATGGGCAGTTGTCCTGTGGGCTGGCTCACATTCTGATATTTTTCTGCTTGCATGCTGGTAGTTCCTCTGTCCCTTCTGTTCCTTGAAATAAAAGTGAACTCTAGAGGCTTGGTTAGATTCTGGTTCAGTCTTTTGGCAAGAGTGTTTCTAGGTGATGTCGTACGTCTCTTGTTGCATCATGTTGGGAGGCTCACCAGGTCTGGTTGTTCCTCCTTGAGCTGTGCTAAGACTGATCAGTGGGTTCAGGGGATCACAGCCTGATCCTTGCGATGAAAGTTCCTCATCAGCCTTTCCTCTCATGTTTTCGCCTGCTTCTTATC